AACTTTGCATTTATTCCTGTCCCAAGAACTATGTCTTATAATAAGTTGTTAAAAGTAAACTGCTTTCTCGTAAGTGCTGTTAATTTTCATCATTCAATATATAAGGAAACAAAGATGTATACTTTCAGTGAAATTCGTTGTCGTGCGTGCAGTTGTGTATTAGTGTATTAATTAACCGCGTCTATACATATAAGTGAAATAAACATGTGTGTGTCTTCAAATATTTATCCAACAAATATATAAGTGTGTGAGTGTGTGTGTCTGTGTATGTAAAAATTCTTCCAGTTTGTCTCCATTAGTCAAGAATTGACGGGAAACCGGCGACAAAAATCCGTATTTTTTCTTTCACTCTTTCTTTCTGCATTTACAAACGACTGTAGTAATTTTACGTACACAATGCTTCTGAGTTTACTACAGTTATTTGGAACTATTGGACGAAATAGTAAGAAACTTTGCTAATTTGGTGAACATTTGTCGGGATTAGTGACTTAGTGTAGAAAATAGTAAAAAATACAAAAAGTTCCCTTATTTCCGGTGGTTGCAATGTGAAAATAGTAAATTCTAGTGTGATTTTATACAAAAATTAGTAATCTCGGTCTCTCCGTGTGGATGATTTTTTAAGTTGAAAAAATTACTAAAATGTTCTTTATAAACCAGTGAAAAATATCCCGTTGGAAAAAAATGGCACGAAGTTTTAAATTGTTTAAACTTAAGCATTTGTACCGCGCGGTGCAGGGCGCGACTCTGGTCCTTATTGTGCGTACCACCCGAATGACATGAAAAACACATTCGTATTTTCTCACAGTATAAGGACTCTGCTTCTAAAACACTGCTTTTACCATTTTTATCCAAATGTTTAATTTTTTTGCTAAAATTATTACACACATACGGACACAATATTTTCTATTAAAACATTACAGTCGTGAAGATAAAATTTGGATTGTTTTATTCTTTCTTTAATTGAAAAATTTACAATTAAATTAATGTAAATTAAAATTAATTTTATATTCTTATATACTCACTCACGATTTATTTTCTTGTAGGAGTTAAAGCACACGTTCGGTCCTGGTATTTTTAAATAAATATAAACCGATCAAAAATATTTTTTCTGGAAAACATAGAAATATAAGTAACATTAAAATTTTTCATACCCGTATACTAATAACTTTTTCTAAAGAATAGTTTTAAAAAATATTTAAATCCAATTTGAATTTTAATTCTTGTCCTCACATTAATTTATTGTAAATGTCTCAAAATAATAAACAATAAAAATCAAAATTGTACCGGTATTACTGTAATTTTTTTAGTGGAAAATACTTGTACCGTAAATGTGTAATAATAATCCATATTTTCTTATTCAGAGAAATTGAAACAAATAGCTTTCCTCACATAACCGCTGTCTACAGTTAATTTTAAAATACAAAATTTTTAATAATTTATTTTTATTATAATGTTCTTGTATGTATGGTGTTCTGTTTGGAATGAAACTTTACCAAATTATTAAGTGATTTAAAGGTTATGGTGATTTTTCTATCAAAAAACATAAAAATTATAATTCGTCTTGGTTATTTTAAAAAGTATTTAAATTGAAAATTCGTTTTTAGTAAATTATTTTTATAAATTTAAAAGTGGCATGTTGATTATTGTAAGGTTCTCAAAATATTAACTTCAAGTTTATTTACATTTTTTTTTAAATTCATTATCAGATTTTGAGAACTTGCTCCTCAATGAAAAATTTTAACAAACTACGTAAAACATCTGTATTTACCAATCAATAAGAAGAATGAATTAAATATTCCATTAAAAAAAATTATTTACAAAATTATTTAAATAAATGAAGTGTTTAAGAAGCGCAGTCCTTACAGCGAGCAGGAACGATAACACGATAACACGCGCGTGGTACGCTCAATAAGGACCAGAGTCGCGCCCTGCACCGCGGTACAAATGCTTAAGTTTAAACAATTTAAAACTTCGTGCCATTTTTTTTCCAACGGGATATTTTTCACTGGTTTATAAAGAACATTTTAGTAATTTTTTCAACTTAAAAAATCATCCAGAACACTATTTATTTTTAATTGTTTATAAATAAACTATTGCTTTTTTCACTAAAATTAAATATTTTTATTTGAAAATAATGGCAGTTATACTTCATTTCAAGACAAATAAAATGCAACTTGAAACATTAAAATCGATCAATAAGTTTTTGAGAAATTAATTTTTTAATTAAATACGTTCAAAATTTTTAATAGTTAATAACATTAACAAAAAATATTTTTTTTTTGCAAAATCCTTTGGTATTATGATTTCTTATATAAAATACTATTAAAATAACCACATTACTACGAAAAAGAAAATTAAAAGGTTTTGGGTGGCTCCTTGCAGGAATTCTGACTCAACTGATTTTTGTATATCTTTTTTGTTCTGAACTGTGGAATTGAGAGTAATAGGTTTGCAGTTACGGGAAAAAGGGAAATGCAATTTTCTCGTAAAAGAGACTGTTCATAGATGATATTTATCAGCGAAGGCACGTAAAAGCGAGATCGATTTCTTTACATTGAACTGTTGCTGACATAGTTTTCGATCTTTCGATATTCATTCAATCGAGGAATCTAATCGAATAGAAAGAAAGTCTACTTATATTGGTTTGATAGTTCCATTCTTTCTAGTTTCTGACGTCCCTTTTTTGCTCCATCTATAACCGTCCATATTTACTTACAAGAAGTAATCATTATAGCTTTACTCTCTCTGGCATTCAATTTCGCATTTTTTGGATTCCTTTCGAATTAACAATCGTCTTATTACGACTGCTGTAATTTCTTTGTACATGTTTAAAACTTGTGCAATTCTTTGTTGGTTTGCGATTTTAATATAATATAGATAAAGAAATTTTTCAAATTGCATTTTGTAATTTCACATCCTACATGGTTGCGCGCATATCTATATTTATCACATTATATGCGTGATATATTAGTCAACGATATTACAATTACATTAATGTAATTAATTGATGATTTTCATTTGTTAAAATAATTTATTGTCATTCATTTATTACAGTTTAATATAAAACAAAAAATTGTCAATAATATTATTATTATTATTAACTATAATAATCGTCTGTCCACACTTGAAATTAGACTTTTGTGCATGCTTTTGATTTTTTGATATGTTTTGATCGATAATATTATACCTACTTCTTTATTATTTTTTTACTATTTTTGAATTTAATAATATCATCTTTATTTTTCAAACAATTCACAAATATTTTTATTAATCTAAAAAAATGAATAATATCTTATTATTCATTATTTCTTTGTTTCTAAAAAAATTAGCATTTTGTGCTTTTCAATTACAATTCATAAATAAAGTATATACAAGTTTTAAGTAAAAAAATGTTATAAATCAAATTTTGTTTAAAAAATTTTTAATTTATTTTGGAAAAAATTTTTACAAAATTTCTATTTGTTAAAAATGATTGTACAATTATTCAAAAACATCAATAACTTCATTGTTTTATATAATAGGGATATTTTTACTGTAATTGTTTCAAAATTGTTTTCATCATTTTAATTCAATTATTATAATCTAGAATTTGTTAAATAAAATTCTTCTTTAAATAAATTATCTGCTTTAATTATTTCTTAAAATTCATGCTATAATGCTTTTAATATTCAAATAATTTTTGAATATTTGAATAATTTGAATAATAAATAATCAAATCTAAAATTTTAACTGAAATTCATTTTTAAATAAATTTTTATTAGAAAATTCTACGAGAATTTAATTATTTAAATGAAAATATATATATACTTTATTTACTCTCCCTGCTTAATAATGCAGGGTTCGAGGAACCATAATACAAAAAATTTTTAACCTAATGTACAATCTCTTAAACTTAACTTAACCTAATACAAAAATCTTATTTTCTAATTATTCGCCAGTGCCGGGCTTCCGTTTCCCGTTCCATTTGGCTTCGTCAAACTTTAAAATTTATTTTAAACTCGTTCCCACCCTCTTTATCTTTAATTCACCTTAATATTTATTCTCATTTGTTCTAATTCATTCATCCATTTCTCACCTTGCCCATTCTCATCCAGTATCCATCTTATCCTTTCATCCACACCTTTGTCATTCTCTCCACCACTTGTACATCTATCTAAAACATGTTCCCAATCCTCTAACTCAAAACCACACACCCTACACAATCTCTCACTCTCACCCATCCAATATTTACATTCACGCATTCCTTCCCCCATTCTAAACCTTATCATTCTGTTCCATCTCTCCTCCTTCCTTATTCTCTTTAATTATTGCGGTATGTCACTTCCTCTTACCAACCCATACCACCTATTATATTTTGAGTTCATTATCCTTTCCCATCTCTCTTCCTCATCTTTTTCTTTCCACCCCTCTCTCACTTCTGTCCATTTTCTATCTCCCTTGATTCCTTCTTTAATTGCCTCCATTCTTTTAATCTCCCACCTTGACATTTCTTTCCTTCCCTTCAGCTCCCTTTGGGAGCGTTCACAAATTACGTAACATTATAAAGGGGAGGGGGGGGGGGTCTAGCTATTTGTTATGTACAGCAGAAAAAATGGCGCTAATGTATGTAACAGTGTGTTACATGGGGGAGGGGGGGTCAAAATTTTCAAAAATTAGCGTTACGTAATTTGTGAACGCTCCCTTTCTTTCACTTGCAACCAGCACCTTCGAGTCCAACTACACCCTCCACCCTGTCTTAACTTTTCCTCAAAACCCCACGCTCTGCTTCTTTGTCTTACTCTCATTCTCTCTCTCCCGACTTCCTCTCTTAACATGTACCCCGGACAGTTTCCACTCACACTCATAACCCATCTCAAATATTTTTCATGCATACTTTCTACTTTTTCCATTTCCATCCATCCCCATACTTCCACACCATAACTCACCACCGACCATACTAACGTATCATACAACCACAATCTCTTTTTCCAGTCGTTTTTGAACCTTCTCTTACCTATTCCCTATACCTGACCCATTATCTTATTCGCTCTTTCCACTCTTCTACTTACATTCAACTCATGCCCTCCACTATAATGAAACCAAAAACCCAAGTAACAAAACTCATCCACTTCCTCAGCCACTCTTGCATTCAATCTCCATTCATTCTGCTTTCCGTCTTTTTTCTTCATAAGTCTCATCGCCTTAGTTTTTTCCACATTTATCCATAAATCTTTCTCTCTCACATATTTTTTAAATTCCTTAATTAACAACCTCATTCCTGACTCATTCTCGCACATCAATACCACGTCATCCGCGTATGCAAATGAGTAAATTCTCCCATTACCCAATATTATCCCCCCTTTTCCTCTTCGTTTCAACTTTTCCTCCAAGTCCGCCATTAACAAACTGAAAAGAACAGGGCTTAGAGGGCAACCTTGCATCAAACCTCTACCCAGACAAAACTCTTCCCCAATTGTTTCTCCTATTCTAACCAGCGCCCTCACATCCGTGTACATTTCTTTGATCCTCTCCACAATCCCATCTTTAATTCCTCTTTCCCTCTTTCCTCCATCTCATCTTTTCCCACCGCCTTATTCCTCTTCAGCTTGTCTATCGCTTCGTCTACTTCTTCCCTTGACACCTCTTCCCCATCATCCTCTCTCACCATCCTTCTTCCTTCCCCTCTTACTTTGTATCCCGTTCCCCCACTCATGTCCATAAAATACCTAGTCCACTCTTCTATTTTGATCTTCCTATTTATAGGTTTCCCCTTCTTTCTTTCTTTGTTTATTACCTCCCATTCTTTACCTTCTTGCACCGCTTTTTCCACTTCCTCCCTAAACCTTTTCTTCTCCATTTCTCTTTTTCTCTTTAATAATTTCTCGTGATCTTTGTGTCTCCTGTTGTATTCTTTTCTTTCCATTTCACCTTTCCTCCATTCTTTAATGTATCCTTTCATTCTTTTCCTGCTCTCTTCACATTCATTGTCCCACCATTTTCTATATCCTAACTCTTGCACTTCTACATCCCGCATTTCTTTTTTCACTTTATCGATCTTGTCTCTTATTTTTATTATTTTATTATCCACTCCTTCTTCATCCTCCCACTCTTCCATTTCTCTCCGCATTCTTTCCTGGAATTCGCCTAGCCTTTCCACATTCCATTTACCCATTTTAATTTTCTTTTGTTTTCTAACACCTTCGTCCAGTCCACTTCTTCCTTTCTTTTTCCCATCCCTCATTTCTACTACCAGAGGAAAATGGTCAGACCCTATTTCTCTTCCTACTTTCATTTTAATGATTTCATCCCTTCCCTTGTCATCTGTCAGCACATAATCTATAACGGTTTCTCCTTTTCCTCTATAGGTGAAATTTCCTTCCTCGTCTCCTCTCATATTTCCATTGGCGATGGACCATCCTTCTTCTTCCAACAATTGTAGTAGCCTCTTACCCTCTTCATCCACTTTCTTATGTCTGGAAACTCTGCTATATTTTCCCAGCTCTTCATCCCATAAACCACCCCCCAATTCCCCGGTCCATGAATGAAGAACAAAAAATGGAGGTCATCTCGGCGAAAAATAAGTTGAAAGGTAGAGAAGAATTTATAGAAGAGGACAAAACGTGGAAAGAGAGGGTGGTTTCAAGGAAATTAGATCAGAAAAAATGGGAAGAGAGGGTAAAAGGAAGTAAAGTTAAAAGGGGAAGAGAGTGTTGGGTGGTTGTGGTTTGTAATACAACTGGAGAGGTGGTGGAGGAGGAAAGGAGAAGAGAAAGAAATACTTCGCAGGAAAGGAATAGAAGAAAGAGGGGGCAGTTGGGGAAGATCACAGAAAGCAGGAATAAAAGTTGGGTTTTGGAACGTAGGGGGAATTAAAAATAAAGACGACGGGTTCTGGAAAACGATAGAGAAATGGAACGTGTTGTTTCTTAGCGAGACGTGGGTGGAAAGGAAAGATTTAAAGAAAATAGAAAGGATATTACCAAAAGGGTACAGATGGAAAATGCAGGAAGCAGAGAGTAAATGCAAATATAAATAATTTATTGAATAATTAGATTTTTCTTAAAATTGAATTCTCATAAAGAATTTTATCAAAACATTTTTAAATAATTGATTTCTTTTGACGATTTTTAATAAAATTGTTAAGAACAATTATATTTTTCAAGGAATCCGATTAAAATTGTATTGAAAATAATTGAAATTCTGTGATGACTTTTATTTATGAAAATAATTGAATTCCTAAAAAGAATTTTATTATTTATGAAAATAATTTAATCCCTGTAAAAAATTTGATTATTTATGAAAATAATTAAATTATTGCGAAGAAATTTATTTAAAAAATTTGTAAATAATAGAATTAATATGAAATATTGAGGAAATTTTTTGAAAATAATTGAAATTTTGACAAGAATTTTATTAAAAATTTTGAAAATAATTGAATTTTGCCAAGAATTTTATTAAAAATTTTTTAAATAATTGAATTTCAGAGAAGAATTTTATTACTTTTGAAAATAATGTAAATTTTGACCAGAATATTTAAAAATTTTAGAACATTATTTTACAAGTTATTTATAAGACTTTAAAAGTTACTTTCACATTAAAAAAAAAATTCAAAAATAAGACTTTCTATACAATTTTTAGTTTTTAAAATACCAATAATTTCGAAATTATCGAATTAGATTCAAAAATAAGTCAATCGAAGCGTTTTTTAATGCTCCGGGACAAATATGTCCCACTTTGAAAAAATTATGTAATTCTTATAAAAGTCAACGAATTAATTTGCGGTAAATTTATTTCTATTCCAAATGGACGCTGTTACAATTAAAAAAATAATAAATTATAAAAAGTAGTAATACTTATTTTAAACAATAGGATGAACATTTACTGTTTATAAAAAAACAGTTATGTAACAAACTATTTATTTCATTCACATTGAATAATTTTTAACCTTCGTTTTTCTACGTTTTTGGGGTCGCTGATTTCGAATATGGAGTCAGATTTAAAAAATTCAAAATGTCGGATTTAATATGGCGGAATTTTTAAATAAATTATCAACATATTTTTAAATTTCATTAAAATTGATTTAAACTTGCTATTCGTGAGTTTTCGAGGTCGCTGATTACGAATCCATTGTTAGTTTTTAAAAATTTAAAATGGCAAATTCAATTAGTAGAATTTTACAGATAATTAATCAAATTCAGAAAATAAATAGGTATGTACCTTTTTAAAAAAAGTTCAATTAATTATTTTTACATTCTTCACACATGAGAATATATTAATTATTTTTTTTATTTTAATTGTCTGAAAAAGTCAACATATGATTTTAAGAAAACGCTATATAATATACATAAGAAGAAGAAGCAAAAATGATGAAACTATTTAACAATATATTGATATTAAACATTATAATTTATTAGAACCTTGAATTTTATTCATTTCAAATACTTTCTTACATATAGTCTGCATTTGAGAATTGAAGATTCTTCATATTTTACGAGTTTTACAGTTAGTTATATTATTTAGATACTATTATAAAAAATGAAGATTATGAAATATTTATTACGAGTGTTGAAAGAGAGCCTTGGAGTTGTTGAATAAATATAAATAAAGTTGATTACAATTTTTAATTTATATTGAAAGTGGGAAAAAAATTAAAGGAGGTCGGAATTCGTTGCAAATCCTGTCACACGCACTCATTTCTCGTTTGTTTCGCTTAGAGAGTAATAGTGAGAAAATAATGAGACTAATAGACGCTTTCGACATTTGGTATCGATATATAGACACGTTGAATTGTTTTAAATTGCCGAAAAAATTATTGCAAACAAATGTGATAAAAATTTTAAGATCACGAACAATATTTTTTGAAAATTTATTATTATTTATACAGGACTTAGATTCAGATAAAGCATAATTTTTATTTCTCAGTAACAATATTGTTTACAAAGTCATTTTTTTCTTTTGGGAAGGAAAACATTAGATATTCCCGTTTCTTAATATATATTTGTAGAAAATTCTCAATTTTCATAAGGAAGTAATTTGCATGAATTATATTTCTTCATTATTGTTTTAATAAAATTCAAAGTTTTTTAAAAATAAAGGAAAAAAAATGTTTATAAATTTTATTTGTCAATTAGAAAATTTAATTGAAAATGAAACTGAAAATTTTTGAATTTTTAGAAAATAAAGGAAAAAATTTTATGGAAAAAAAAGGTTCTGGTAAATTTATTTACGAATATCTTTAGTTGTAAAATTATTCGTAAACAATAGTTTTTTTTAAATTTAAATATTTAATTATTATTATTATTTTTCCATGGGAATTAACCTTTTTTAAATTAAACAAATTTAAAAATATAGTTATAAAACATGAAGAAATCGATCACTCCGAGTCAAAGACTCGGAGTGATCGATTTCTTCATGTTTTATAATAATTAAAAAAGATCGAGTGTTAAAATCATTATTTTATATTATAAAAATATTGTTACTGTATGTTCTTAAAAATTATTTTCATATTCTACTATTATCTAAAATTTTAACTGAAATTAATTTTTAAATCAATTTTTATTAGAAAATTCTACGAGAATTCAATTATTTAAATACCTACAAAAATAAATAATTTATTGAATAATTGAATGTTTTTTAAAATTCAATCCTCATAAAGAATTTTATCTACAAATTTTTTAATAATTAAATTCTTTCGACCAATTTCAAAAAAAAATTTAAGAATAATTTTATTATTTCTATATTTATCCTAAAATGCTCTGAATATTCAATTATTATGTAAAATTTTAACAAAAATTCATTTTTAAATCAATTTTTATTAGAAAATTCTACGAGAATTTAATTATTTAAATACAAAAATAAATAATTTATTAATTGATTGTTTCTTATTAAAATTCAATTCTTATAAAGAATTTTATTAACAAATTTTTAAATAGTTGAATTCTTTTGACAAATTTTAATAAAACTTTTTAGAATAATTACATTTTTCAAAGAATTCGATTAAAATAATTGTATTAAAAATAATTGAAATTCTGCGATGAGTTTTATTATTTCTGAAAATAATTGAATTATTGAGAAGAAACTTAAAATTTGTAAATATTTGAATTCCCGTGAAATTTTTATTATTTATGAAAATAATTAAATGTTTGGGTAAAATTTTATCAAAATTGTTTTTAAATAATCGAATTCTTTAGAGTAATTTTATTAAAATAGTAGATATTGAAAATCATTGAAATGCGGAAAATTTTTGAAAATAATTGAAATTTTGACAAGAGTTTTATTAAAAGTTTTGAAATTAATTGAATTTTGAAGAAAAATTTTTACATTCTCATCATATGAGAAAGTATTAGTTTTGGTCGAAAATTGACTTTCGCTAATTTCATGAAATCTCGACGTTTTGGGG